TAGAGTCATCCTGGCAGAAACAATCCGTTGTAAAAAAAAAAGAAAAAAAAAAAAGCTTAATAATACAAATAAAATATGTCTGTTGTAGTTCTTTACATTTATTTTCTTACTGTGATCAGCAGAACCTCTGCCAAAGGCAGAGGGCAGGAGCGGCAGCGGAAGAGGACCCCCCATCGAGGCCACCAGTGAAAAAGCAACAGGGGGACGACCAACGGACGACACAACCACACCCGCCAACTCACCCACGTAAACCCCTGAGAGTCCTGAGGGAGCAAAGAGTCAGACAGTCCAGTCAAATTCAAACAGTTTTATAATCAAACACTAATGGGAAGGAATCCTGTCAGCTTATCAGAAATCATCTAAGGACCTCTGTCATTACATATTTTGTACTTTTAAATAAAGAAATCAGGTTTTATGTTTGATGAATGTGAGTTTTTTGTCTGTAAACTTATTGAAAGAAAATACCACAAATGACAATATTAATAAAAAAAATGTTTTGCCAGTAAAACTGAAACAAAATGCGACAGCAAACATTCTGTTATGAAACACTGAAGAGGATCCTACCATGTCTGAGTCAGAACTGAAGAGGGGCCCTTGTTCTGGAAGACCACTCTTTCAGATCATCAACACCATCTGTGAGATAGGCTCTGTTAATAACATTTATAAAGCAGCACTACAAACTACCAAGTCAATATTAGCCCAAGGTGCAAAGTTCTGCTTGAATAAATCTTTTAAGAAGAAAAGAAAACTTTTAACGCATAGGTCTGTACCTGAACGCACTTGTTTTTGTTTCGGTATGTTGGTTTCACTTACAGGAAGCAACACATTCCAAAAATAAGCCAGGACAGGACATTTTATAAACCTTTATCTATGTTTACTTCATCTGCATACAATGGTCTGTATATAATGATGGGGTTGGAACTAGCCTGAACATTGCCTTCCTACACAGTTCAGCTTGACTCTAATCTCCAGAGCCGGCTCTTGGCATAGGCGAACTAGGCGGTTGCCTAGAGCGCCATCTGTTGGAGGGGGCGCCGAACTGCAGAAGAATAAAGAAATTATTTGTAATCCCTTGTTGTAACTC